CGGAAGAAGCCCCCACTGCGCCAGGTGAAACATCAATGATTTGGAAGGAGATAAATGGGTCATTCATTCATGAACCAGGCCCTTAGAAGTCACAGAGAGAGGAAGGCAACTCAAATGCTCTCAACACAGCGGTTCATTTAGCAGAAACTGTTGCAGCTGTAACTCGCTGAAAGGGAGCTAGCCAACGCTGTCAAAACTCATGGCAGATTCACTGCCGGCAGATTAGGACGCTTTAATTAAACATAAACTGGGGTTGCTCACTATACAAATGACATTTCCTGCTTTATGTGGGCCCTATCAAGAAACCTCTTGGTGACAAGACATCGTCTTGTGACAGAATATCAGTCAACTGGAAGAGCTAAGAAATTATCATCCTGTAACTCCTGTTAACTTACTTCCCCTTGCAAATCAAACGTTAAGCCTCTATGCCAGGGGAAAAAATTGTCTTGCCTTGCTTAATAAATTGTCAGCTCTATGCAAGGTCACCAGGAAAGCTTACGCCTTGTTAGAAAGCAGAGTAAGCAGATGTTGCTATATTTAAAACAGGTTCATTAAGACGTTTTGTGTTGAACCTGCCAAATAAGCACTTAGTTTGGATTTGAAGAGACCATTGCATGTTAATAACAATGAATTTAAAAAGGCATTTGTTCCTGACACTGAGTGCTTATGTAGCACTGGCATTTCTAAGCATCTCAGCCCGCTCTTGTGGTGGTGTTGCAGTATCCCCATTTTACAGGTAAGGAGAGTAAGGCAGGGAGGCGGAGTAGTTTGCTCAAGACCCGGAGGGTCAGCTTTTAGGATGGGGATTAGGATTTGGGAGTTTGTTTCCTGAGGATTGACAAGTGGCTTGTGACCTGGGTAGATGCTGAAAGTAGCTTGCATTGTCAGGAGTTCACGCTGTAGGCAGGACGCGCTGCATTCATGCGCCCGTGCCCGTGCCTGCCTCTATGCACACAAGACCTGATGGAGCACGCGCCTACCGTGGATCCCATAGCATTGCTATGGACTGCTTCCCCTTTCAGGTCTTTGTCCTACATCCTGGGTTCTCCAGCTCCAGTCTGCAGGCCACATCTGGCCTGTGAAGCCATGTCATCCAGCCTCTGCGTCTCCCCACAGCTTTAAAAATGCAGCGGTAGGGAAGTGGTGGGAGCGGTGATTGCAGCTCCCCTGCTGCCAAGTATCCAGACCCAGGGCTGGATGATGTGGTCCGAACACAGAGCTGGGCCTGACATCCCTTCACTGGCTCACGTAGCCAGAAAGTTGAACACCCTTCTCCTACTTTATTAAATCCAAATGGGATGATATTTTGGGGAGCGGGCTTTCCAAACAGCTTTTCTCTCTCTGTTCAGGACCATTTTAAAATGTGTATCCCTGCATGGGAATGCACTGCCACATCCATTCGCTGCTCCTCCTGCATTTCCACAAGAGCGGCATAGGAGAGGATAGTTCTGAACCCGGATCAAGTGCGATGACCTGCTTTTTTTTGTGCTCCTGCGTGTGTAACTTTCTCTTTCCAGCCAGTTATGATTTATAATCTGCGGAGAGAGGCTGTGTGTGTGTGTACAAAGAAATAGAGGGGCAGGATAATATTTCTCTTTCCATGTTTGAAATGAGATCTCAGAAGAGTGATAGGTAGAGTTGCTTTTTAAACAGATCCAGCTGAGCCCATCAGTCTGGAAGCCTCTGTTTACAATTGCCTGGGCCAGAGCTGTGCAAGGGGAAATGAATCTCTCTCTCTCCCCTCTCGATGCTTGCGTGTGGCTGCCTGCTAGTTGAATAGACTATTGAATAGCAGGAAGCTTGTTCTGATGAAGGCTAGTTTTCTGTTACAGCAGGTAGGGCTTACACGAATAGATCCATCACAACCCTTACCCCTGGCATCATCCCCCAGCGCTGAAGCTGCTGGCAGCTCTGGGAGGCAGCACAGGAGACAGGCAGGCAGCATCACACTGACAGTTTCCTGAGATTGTGCTACTTGAAAATAATCTAATGAGAATGGCAGCTTCTTCCAGAGCTTGGAAACCACGGGGTTGAGGAACTGCAATTCTCCCACCTTTCAGGAGGAAAGCGCTGTTTGTACGTCCGAAGCAACTTCAGCTCCAAGGAGTGTTTGGATGGTACGTTCCCACCAGGAAAGTCTCCATAAACCTGGATGACTGCATCCAAAATGACCCTGAACGTCAGCACGGAGGATGCGACACGGTGTAGCATCCTTTCTGGTCTGGTTCGCTTGCACCGAGGATGCCTGTGCTATCGCTACCGAGCGGTCGCGCTCGGTAAATGTTGCGTCGGTGCCGGAAGTTTCAGCAAATGAAAAGTGACAGTACGGCTTCATTAGGATGTTTATTACACAGCTGTAATTTTTAATTTGAGGGTTGGTGGGAGCTGCGAGCTCGCACGTAACCCATGTCAAGGAAGAAGCCTCCCAAGACTCGAAGGCAGAGAAAGCCACACGGAGTGTCCTTTCTGCGAAGCAGCGAGGGAGCACAAAAAAAAAGCAACCGCTAGTTTATTCAGCTGCAAATAGGACTCACAATGGGTGGAAATGTCAAGAGGATTTAAATCAAGCAGCAGGGAGGACCCTAAAGGAGGTGCAGGGAGGGTGGGGGGAACCCAAGCGTGGTTACAACATAACAGCTTCGAGCTATAGGACGGATGTGCTGGCTTCAAGATACATTTTGCCTTTGTAAAAGGAGAGGGGTTTCTAAGCCCGGGGCAAACTCCCTCCGTCTCCCTCGCCCCCACCACTTCTTTATTTCCTTTTAATTAGCAGCTACAGAGGGGCCAGTGTACCAAAGTCACTGTCATTTTATGGAGTCCTTGAAGGAGAAATATATTGGGGAGGAAAGCAGAAGTCCCTGTAGCTCGGTTCCGCGCTTCCCCGTGTGTTTGGTTGGTAGAAAATGAATGGGCTGGATGATGATGTCGCTCGGGTCAGATGCTGAGGTCACGTGGACCAGCTGCCAATCAGATCTGGCTCTCCTGCAATTAGAGGATTAAAAATCCCATGTGAGGTCTGTCCCAGCGGCATGGAGAGCATGGCTACGGTGCACCAGCCTTTATGGCCAACAACACGCAAGGGAAGGCATCTCCGTTGGCCATCTGGGACTTCCCAATCCCAACTGGCCAGCTCCTCTGTTCCAGGGGGGCACAGTCCAGGGTTGGGCTGGACCTCAAGCCTTTTAAGCTGCAGCAAGCTACTCTAACCATTTGCCACTACTTCTCCCAGTAAAAGAGCAAGCAAATGGTGGAAGGAGCGGTCAGCATGGGGCTCACTCTGGCTGTTCCTGGGTGTATTGTCACCCTCTGGATGGACACTGAATTTCCCAATGGTCACAAAGCCACTTGGGCAGCTCCCTGGAGCCCCAGCTTTGCTCTTTTAGCAATAGAGGGGGACCAAGCAGTGCCTCGGGAAGCCAAGGGCTTGATGATGCATCACATGCTGAAAGACTCCCTTCTCCCAGTGGAGTTTCATTGAAAACGTTGGACCGTGAGCTAAGCAGGATCAGGAATGGCTTGCAAAGGTCAAGGTGTCAACCCTAGTCAGAGCCTTGTCTGGGACTCAACAGGAGAGGTGGAGCCCGATGAGGCACAACTACTCCAAAACCTCCTTTTTCTTGGTGGGGGCATAGGGAAAGCTGCATCCCTTACTGAAGGGAGACTGTTCAGACGGTCAGAGGAGGGTGGCAGGGAGAGGCTGAGTCCTTGGGAAACTCCCACACCCTCCCCAGCCCCTGGCTTATGGAGGTGTAGGTGGAAGTAAAACCTGTCTGTGTGTCTCATGTCAGCATCATGCAGGAAAGCGTCCTGCTTTCTGGCCATGTTTGAGTCGTTTGGTCAACCCGAGCTGAACACCCCGTTGGTTGGTGTGGTTCAGGCAGGCACACAAGGGAGTTATATGGCCAACATCATATGTGGATCAACTGGGAATGGGGTAAAGGCACAGATCCAGAGCAGGGCTCAAAATCCTGTGTCTGGAGCTATAGCAAGAGGCCTCAACACCTCTGCCTCCACCCCCTGGCAGGCACAAGCCCTACCTCGTTCCTACAGTCTTTGGTTGGCAGGATCTGCAAAAGCCCCTTTTGGGCACTGGAAAGGGAAAGCAACAATATTAATTAGTAGTAATATCATCATTATTTTGTCATTATCATCATTATTATTATTATGAACAACAACAACAAGGTCAAGGTCTGCATTTTGGCTAGGAAAAAAAAAACGAAGTTTCTCCTTAGCTGTTGCTGCCAGGGGGCAAATTTAGGTCCATTTGTGTGTGTGTGTGTGTAAAGATGGACATAGTCCCTGCCTATTTGTCTGCTAAGATGAAAGTAGGATGGAATTGGTAGACACCTACCAATGTACATTAGCAGTGCTTTTTTCTTATTCTTTCAACGTAAAATAAATATTCCATCCGCCATCCCCCGCCCCCCCGCCTTTGTCCAAATGAATGCTTTCTAAGTATGTTTATTTCTTCTGAGCTCCGCAGTGCTCTTGAATATACATAACGTATTAACGCTGACCTTGGGGAATTTCAGCGTGGCCCTTAATGA